TATTGTCCTTTTGTTTTAAAAGTATCTAAAAAATTCGATAAAATAAAATATTCTTCTGGTGTCATTTCTGAAGAAAAAGTTTCAAAATATCTACAAAAATGAAACTGATTTGTGCATTAGGTCATCATGAAAGTAAAGATATCATTAGCATATTTAAACAAATAAAAAGCAATAGCCTATCATAAATATTCAAGGTGTTTCATAACAAACCGCTAAAATTTCTCTTATTAACTCGATAATAAGAATATACCTACTATGAGCTACATACTATCCTTGGAGGTTTTTATACATTATAGCCAATCCTCATATAATGCCAAATATTATTATTCTTGTTTTATAAATAGGCAAATTGAGGTTTCAGAACCTCAAACTACATGATCTTCTAAAACTTGCCTAAGAATTCCATAGCATTGGTGGCAAAAACTGTTGTTTCTCACTGTCTCTTTCTTATTTACTAACAGAACCTTCATCTTGTCCCGGGTGGCAAGGTTCCCAGTTAAAATAAATAACAATGGATTTAAAAATAAATATGCTATGAATATGAAAACTTCCTGTCCTTAGGAAGCATCCAGTCTAATAGGGACCCAAATAACTAAATATTTAGGTTCAATTCAAGCAGGCCAGTATCTGCTAGAGAGGTTAAGTGCCCTGTACTTAGGAAGGAGTAGAGATATTTCACGAAGGTCTTCTTGGCATAGTAAAATGACATAGAGTGACTTTAAAGGTACGATCTCATAAATAAAGAGACAATTAAACACCCCCCAGACTAGTAAAGTACTAAATTGTGTTAAGTTTTTTAACATAGTTACATTGCCAGTGATGTTTTTGGCCTACTTTTGGGTAACATTTTATACAATTTTGACTTCTTCTTTGTTAAAGAAAAATTAAAAAGAAAAAAAATATGCTAGAGTTCACTTGCTTCTTTCATCCTCAATCATTCCATTAAAGGACTGTATTTTTTCCTTGGGTATCAAGCATAGGCTACTTTCATACATATGGTTCTCCCAAAGAATAGTCAGGTAATTTTACAGAATTTTAACGAATATTAGCCATTAAGATGAACTGTTGAAACAGGTAAATATCATAATTAGGCTATTATGCTTTAAAAAGTGTCAGATTTGAGTGTCACTGATGTGCTCCCTTTTTCGGTGGCTGGCACCAGCAAACACATGCCGCCTTACCTTGACCAGGCCCCCCTGTTTGGTGAGATAACCTTCCTTGGTGCCCAGCTGAAAAAGAAAGAAGCACCAAGTGAAGCCAACAACCATTACGACATGATTTTTGTCTTTCTGTTTCTGTTCTGTTTTTAAATGAAACACAAGTTTGCCTTTGGTCTTCAAATAATCACCTTTCATTCTTCTCCTAGGCACTTGAAAATCCTCCTTGTGGTGTTAGAGACTGTAAGACTGGACAGTCTGGCATAATTCTGTAGCAACAGGCAACAACTGAAATACTCTCTTCTAACTGGAGTTAGCTATTTGTAAATAATGAACCATATCATATCGCTTATAAAGATTAGTGTTGGGCAAAGGGCGTCATGCAAAACCCCGCGGCTTGGATTGTCAGGGGCGTTAGGCACATATACATGCACGTAAAGGTTGACACTGGGTCTATACATCTGGGAAATGCGGATTAAGCAAAGTAAAGGATTTCTTTACTTCGGAGTTTTCTAGAGTCTATATTATGCTAATATGCTTTGTGAATTTTTAAGAGGGAACATTATAAATCACATTTCCAACATTTATTTTATCACATAATCCTCCACTACTCCCTCCCCCTCTCCATTTTTTCATAGGCCATCTCTTGAGACTTATATTCCATGGGAAAGACTTCCAAGAGTGCAGATTTATTTACACTTGATTCATTCAAAAGGGATCTGAAGTGAGAATGAGTCATTTCTTTTAACTCATACATCATTGGTTCAAGAGTAACAACAGCACAAACTTCACTAGCACCTAGGAAATGTGAGGAATGGTGGGAAACTGCATTAATAGAAATTTGTATAAAACAAGGACCCTAAAATGATGAAATGTATAATTTCATAAATTTCCATAGAAATAGAATTTCTGGTAGTACATTTTGTTCTAATATGGTGTTATAACATATTAATAAGAAAAAAAATGAAAAAAACTGGGAAATAACTTATTTGACGTCAAGGTTATTTCTATGGGAGTTTCCAGATTATTTTTTCATGAAGTGAATTCTCCCTACCAAACAAAAAGAGGAACAACTACCACCACAGTAAAAAGACTTAAAGCAAGAAATAGTATAGACCACTTCTTTTAAAATTCTTAAGGCATTAAAGTAAAGATGAATTTCCCAAGTATTCATTTAAATATTATTAAACAATATTTGTGAATTTGATTTCACATTATCAGTTTGATTTATTTTGATATTAAAAGAGATTGAACTGACTGAACTGAGTTTGGTTATTATATTATGGAAATGGCAAAAATTAATATTTTGGGTTGTTGCAGGTTAATGTCTGCTGAGGCAAAATACTTAAGGGTAAATTCTTATGTAGAATATCCTCACAGAATTGTTTCTTGAAATTGAGCTAAGAAATTATGCTACTCACTTCATCTTACCTCCATCCAAACAATATGGTTAGTAATTTTCTAAGTTTTTAGAAATAAGTGGAAGGCTGCAGCGGAAAGAGCTGAAAATATTAATTTTATTCAGGGTCTCAGGAGGTAAGAAAGGAAATCATTATGTAGCACATTTATCTTTTAAAAAAAAATCTATGATCTGTAATAGGAAAAGTGTTTATAAGAGTCCCAAATTGGAAACAACCTAAATGTTTGAAAATAAAGGATTAGCCTTCTTCTCACTCTTTCTATCTGCCTGCCTACCTGTTTGCCTTAAATTTAGTCAAAAGCCACCAGGTGGGGTAGAGCAAGGTAGGCATCATTGTGAGTGTGTGCAGGGTATTCATGCATCTTAGTACAGGAGGGACCCAAGCAGGGTACGGAGATCATCTATGTGGACAATGGTGGTGGCAGCAGCTTTGTGCGAGGTGGTGAAGCCTGGAAGGGTGAGGAGAACTTCTGCCTGAAGGGGTAGAGGTGGCAGCCAGAGCACAGTTTCAGAGCCAAGTCAGGCTAGATGGGCATCTAGGGTGCAGGTGGGAATGGCAGTGGCCAGAGAGTGTTTCCTGGGCAATAAGATTGCTTAAATTTGATTGATCACAAATAAGTAAGTGTTTTGAAGATAATGGAATTCATATTCTTTACTGAGGGAGAAAGGAGTTACAAATATGAAAAGCAAAAAAACTACAATGAGCCTTGTGGTGTATAATTACAATTGGAGTTACCGGTGTGAAGCCATGGATGAATGATAGACGATACATAGATGGATAGATATATGGACAGACAGATAGACACACAGATGATAGATGATAGACAGATGATAATGATAATAGATAGATAAAAATAGATAGAGAAATAAATATAGACAGCAAAATAGGTATGTGTACATATGTATATGCATACATATTTTTCCTAGCTCTGTGGAGGTGTTCCAGAGTGAAGAAGACTCAAGAAGTAGAACAAATAAATGCAACTTTTGATTGCAGATTGGATACTTTTGCTCTGAAGGACCTTACTGGGAAAACTGATGACACCTGAATGAGATCTGTGGATGGGACTGTGGTTCTCTATCGAAGTTACTTCCTAATTTGAATGGCTCTATGAGGTCCCTCATTGTAGGCAAATGTCCCTCTGTGTAGGAAATACACACTGAAATATTGGGGTGATGGGACATCACGTAGGTAATTATTTGCTCTTTGTTGGCTCAGGAACAAATAAATTTTTTTGTACTTACTATTCTTGCATTTTTTTCTGCAACTTTGAAATTATTTAAAATAATACCACATGTGAATTTTCAATAAAGCTTGAACAACAACAAAAATAGCATGTAAAAACATAACAGAGGATTAATTAAAGTATGATAGATCAAAATAATGGAATATTAAGGAATTTGTTTTAATGATGTTTTAGAAGGCTATGTAATGACATGGAAAAATGTTCACAATATATAATTAAACAAACATTGTAACTCTATTTACAATGAAGAGCTCAGTGTATATATTATATATTGATTATGTATAATATATATTTATTCAAGAAGAAGCCTGGAAGAATAGATACTAAAAGTTTAACTGTGAGAAGAGCTTCAAAGAGAGAAAGATGTTGCAGAAGCAAAGGGAGTTGAAATTGTAGGAGGGAGTTGCTAAAAATATCCACTACCATGAAAGGAAAGCTAAGGAAGCTAACATTTTAGATAGGACATATTCTACGTCAGGCACTTGAAACATATTACCTCACTTAATGTCTACCAACATAACTCACTGGTATCTCGTATTTCCCAGGTTCAAAATAGAACTCCTCCTTCCTACCCCCAAACCCACTCTTCCTACAATCTTAGTCTCAGTGAATGGAAGAGTGTTTACTTTGTTGTTCTTTCTTTTTTACCACATTCAATCCATCGGTAAGTTTTGTCTCTTCTACTTTCAACACACATCCTGAAGTTAACCAATTATCCCTTCCTCTCTGTCTAATTGTTCATTCTTATCCCTCTCCCCGGGTTTCAACTGCCATCATCTTTTACCTGGACTGTGGTAAAACTTCCTAGCTGGTCTCCTTGCCTCCAACTCTGTCCCCACTTAATTTTCCAGTTAGTAGTAAGAACAATTTTTTTAAAACTTAAAAACTTAAATTATGTTACTCAAAAATCTCAAAATTTCTTGTCAACACTTAGAACAAAAATAAATTCTTTTCCTCGTCCTATAGGTCCTTCGTGTCGTGTAAAGGAAGTACAACTGACGTTTCAGGCAGGATACTTCTTCACTATACATTGCAGCATATTTTGCCTCCGTGACTCCTGCTCATTGTTGGGAAACAATTCTCTGGGTGTCCCTCATGTTTCTGTACATCTTATGAGCAAAACACTAACAGCCCTTCATCCCAGACCAAATTTTAAAGCATGTTTGTGTAGCAAACAGCCTTAGAAGATAGAAACAGTGTCACCCTCTGGAGGGAAAGGCAGACAACTGGAAGTCTGGTGCCGTCTATCAGCACCCATGAAACAGTAAGTAGCAGGCTAACCTGTTAGCTTGCAAGTCAGGTAAGTTCTCCGACTGTTTGCAGTTCTTGACACCCACTAATGCTAGTAGTGCCCCAAAGCACCATGACAACTAAAATAGAAGTTTTCAGATGCTCGGCTGGGTGGTACGAACCCTTGAAGACTGACTCCATTGTCTTACGTGATCTGACCCCACATTGCCTCAATAATCTCATCTCCTACCACTTCCCTCTAGCTCATTTCAGGCCAGTCACAATGATCCTCTAGCTAGTTCTTAAAACACCTCAATTTAGTTCCCACCTCAGGGCTTTTGTACTGTTCTCTCTGCCTGCAACACTTGCCCACATCTTGAAATGAGTTTCCTTCCCTTCAGAGAAGACTCTGTTCAAATGTCACCTCCTTAAAGATACTCCCCTGCTTCCTTCCTCCCTTATTCTACTTTTTCTTTTTATGACGGATTACTATTGGTTTTGTATTATTACACTGATCACTGTCTGTGATCTCCCCACTGGAACATGAGCTCAATGAAGGCAGAGACTTTGCCTAATTTACTGCCAAACCCCAAGTCTTTAAAACAGTCTTGGGTATATCGTAGGCACTTAAAAAAGAAGTTTGTTAAATAAGTGAATTAGTTAAATTTTATCTTATCTCGGAAACCCAAACCCATGTTGTTTATAAAATATGTAATTTCCCCAAATGCGGCTGCCAAAGGATGTTAAGCAGTGTTACACAAGCATCTGCATTTCTGGGCAATAGGACATCTGTTTTCATTTTCATTTCAAGCAAGAAGTTCTTTTTTCTGTAAATAGAACTTAATTTAATTCTCTTTCTCCACTGCCAGAGCTGTGTAAGACCTGCATCTCCCAAAAAAGAAGATAGAAGTCTGGAAGCCCTTGGAACTCTGTTTGGAGAGGGAAGTTTAGGACCGCGTGGGCATTGGGGAAGACAGTAGAGGTTGAGAGCCCTTGTGCTCAGTAAGGGACAAGAGCCCCTGATCAGACCAGAACTGTTGCCCCGGCCAGCTGGTCCAATTATCAACCATTCTTTACTTAAGAGTAATAAGAGACATGTTAGTATCCACTAAAAAAACTTTTATAGTTTTCTGTCTATAGTAATGCACAATAAACTTCATAGACTTCTCATGATATAGTGTGAATACAGTCATTCTCAACCATTCACTCACCACTGTTTCAAAAACTCCATTATATATGTATGGTCATATTTAGATACTTGGGCAAGTGAATTCATATGATAATCTAGAGTGAGCAAAAAGGTAAGTAATAAGGCTTTCAGAATTTGGTCTAAGTATGCTACATCTCACACTCACGCCAACTCTACATATTAGCAACGACCTACATTTTACTGTTGATGAAGGACACACATAGCAGGGTATGGTTCGATTGGCCTTGAGTGGAGATCTTGAGGGGAAGGGTAACCGAGGAGACTGTGAAGTTAAACTGAGAGTACAAATAAAAGATGTTGAAGTGATCGATGGTGGGGCAAGGATGGGTAAAGAGAAAAGTTAGAAATGATGGAATCGACTGGGAAACAAAGAATTGTTCAGAGGGTAGATCTTATTTTGTTCTTTGGTCTGTCTATGACTATGACTATTTATTATCTTCCTTTCATAAATGTTTTTAGTTCTGAGATCTGATGCTTCCTCCTTCTACGCTAACAAAGCTAAACTATCTTTCTCAATCAAATTCCAAGATTTTTATTTTTTAGTAGATATAACATTGTGACAAAAATACAATGTGTGCCGTGAACCTGGCCAGGCTATAAAGCTACAAAGGCAAGATGTAATCCTTGTCCTTTTAAGTGTTAGGCTGCTGGGGAGGGCAACTTCCAGTATGATGTTTCTAGAATACAGGTTTGCAGAGGGTGCTTGGGAGCAGAGAAGAGGGGCATTTTATAGGAGAGGTCTAGGAAGGCTTCCTGGAAGATACTGATCCCTGATGCAAGTGTTGAAAAATGAGGAGACAGCACGCTGTTGATAGCATTCCAGATTCAGGGAGTGGAGAGGGAGCACAGTCACAGAAATGCACACCGTTGAGGAGGCAGGTTCTACAATGTGAATGGCATGCGGTGAGGATAGAGGGGTGAGCAGGGTCCAGGCCAGCTGAGAAGACCATGGGCACTGTGGAAGGATTTTAAGCAGGAAGGGCATGTGCAAATCTGCTTTTTAGGAGAGATGTTTCTGGTGGCAGAGTGAAAAGAGACAGATAAGCCATTCATATTTTAATGTAATTTGCAGTGGCCATCTTCAACTGATTATTTTTCAAGTGTAATGGTTGCTGTCTAGAATTAGCTCTTGATACTCCATTTGTGTTGTCCCCTTTATCATCTGCAAAAATCCAGATGTCTTATACTAGGAATATTTAGCAAACAAAGAAGAGAAAAAGAATAGAAGAGCCCTGAGCATAATGAAGGGAAGAGGGAGCTGGAGAGGAGTCTGCAGGGTCACAGCTCACAGAATAAACAGAAATGGACTCTTAGAAGAACAGTGAGTGCTCCGGGGTCACTGAAGCTGAACAATGGCTCATGTTGCAAAGAAGCGCAAGTGTTTTCTGTCTGTTCCCTTCATTCAGTGAAAGAAAACAAGACTAGGAAAAAATAATATCTCAGGGGTTTACAGCAAGGGTGGAAAATATTTTCCTTCCATAGACAGTTGAAATGTAAAAGAAAATATTTTTCTTCATTTCAGAAATTCGTTGAAGAATAACAGTTTAACCAACTATGTGAACTTAAATATCCCTTCTACTGTGAACTAGTTTGGCTAAATAAGGATGGGAATTCTAAGTATTTAAAATCCTCTCACTATCTCATTGTACTTTTTTTATGATTTACTCTAAGTTATAAGCTTCAACCCTCATGTTCCTTTACAAGTTTTAAATCTCAAGTAGAATTTCTATGTGAGCAAACATACTTTAACAAGTATATCGTTCTTATTTTACTTTTTTTTTCTATTAGACAGTGAGAGAGCTATGTCAGATTGATGGCCACTTACAGAAGGCGCAGTGGGCACCAGGTCGTTTTCTGTTCTTCCTGTCTGCATTGCTGTGTGAACCCGGACGGATTCATAAATGGAAGGTTCTTCCACTTGTCTTGGATAAGGATGTTTCAGAACAATCAGAGTACCTGAATGAAGGGAAAAAACCCATATTCAAATAGTTTCCCCAGAAAGACGATCCAAATGCTAATGACCAGATAACTGTGGCTAGATTGTAGCCTCTTGCTCTTTGCACGTGTTCACTTGTTTATTTTTCAACGGGTATCAAGTACCAATGATGTGCCAGGCACTTAAGCTGGACACTGAGGATATAAAGGGTGATGAGATGATTTCTGGTCTCCTAATATTCAGAAAGAACTATCAACCGATATATTCAATGAGTAGTCATTTAAATGAATGGGGTAAGCGGCCGATGTCAGCAACGTGAACACAGCATGCTCATGTGGTGGCGCCCGGAGGCCCTGAAGAACCTTTCTACACAACGCTTCAGAAAAGCTTTCGTAGAGGAGGCGGCATTGATCTAGACCTTAAGCAATAACTGGAAGTTTTCCAGGTAGGCTTTACAAAAACCATGAAAACAAAACCCAACAAATACATCAGGATACTGGAGTATTATTTCATTGCCCTTATTTCTTACTAGTTTTAAAAACACCTGTAACAAATCAGTGGATCTCAAAAAAGTGGACTCACAGTGTTCTCCCTACTGTCTTCTACCATCTAATTAACAAAATAAACTAAATGAAGCCTTTGCTTATCTTACGTGAACATGATGTGAGTGGGCTGTGCTCATGCATGATCGCCTGCACTTCCATCTGGAGGAAGTCTGTCCAGGTGGGAAATGTTCTCTGCCCAGCAGCCCAGTTTGGGGCTTGGGCGCACCATTCCGGGGCTTTTTATTTCACTAGAGTCTTTTATATGGCAGGGTTGGGATTGTACTAGACACTGGGGAGACGTAAAGAATTCAATAATTCATTCAACAAATATTTAGTGAGCTTTACCATGTGCCAGGCACTTGGCTAGGCACTGGGATGCAACAACAAACAAAGGAGATACAGCATCTGCTCTTGTGGCAGGGGAGACAGAAAAAAAGTTTTAAAAAAATATGTCAGGTGAGAGAAGTGTTTCAAACAAAGAGAGCAAGGTAAAGGGATACAGGGCGAGTGAAAAGGGTGTGGTTGGGTGAGAGTGATATTTATATGAGTGGTCAGAAAGACGACTTCTTCGAAAAGGTAATTTGAAAGAATATAGAAAGTATGGACCTTAAACTGCAGTAAGAGAAAGACAATGAGGAAAGAAAAATAGTTCCTCTGCAGCTATAAAACGCTTAATAATAATGATAAACCTACGAACAAAACAAACCTTTCTACGGTGCTTGAGTACACATAGTGTACTAACTGCACAAACACAATCGTGGCTTCTGATACCTGGGCCCACATAGTGCACTGCTGTGAAATGAAAGGGGCCTTGAGAAAAGCCAAAAGAGGATCTCTGAACTCAGCCCCAGAAAAGATTGAGACTCTGGTCTCCTCCTCTTCCTGCATCTGACTCACGTCAGTAGCACTGGAATCACAATGAAAAAGCACTTGTGCAGTTATCTGAAACCCCAGTCCACTTTTGCAGATTGTCTGTGCTCTCTTTTATCAATGTGATCCTTTCATGAGAACAGATCTAGTCATATCAGGAAAAGGGATCGGTTACAGTTTTACAGTCATAATGAAAGCAGCGCCACCTAAATCAAGGGCAGCCATTGTGCAGGCTCAGGGCTGTGTGAACAGTCATAACATGGCAGATGCTTGGTGAATTTGGGGCTGGTGCCTCTGTGACCTACCATAGAGAAATACCTCCAGTGATGTGCCTAGCATCGCCGTGGCGCCACTCAGTACCTGCTGATCTTGGACAATCATTCTAGCTTTTGTTTCCTCCTATGACAAGTGAGAATAATTACCCTTTCTTCACAAGGCTGTTTTAAGCATCAAAAGGAAGTGTTTGTGAAAGGATTTTAAAATGTTAGATGTTATTATGCTTTGATAAAGATATTTTTAAATCCTTAAATGAAAGTCCAATAATCACATCTTTGGAAACATGAATTTGAAAATGTTAAGTTAAAAATGACCAATGTGTAACATTCTGCTAAGAGTGAAAATGGCAGTCGTCTAGTAGTCACTGACCACACTTCTAAGACATATCAGTGCCTCTTGGACGTTTCTGTCAGACAATGGAGGAGCCCAGGGATCAGCGCAGCTCATTAATGAGAAAGAATGTAAAACCTTGTGCTTTTTCTTCAAATTTTTATCCTATTCCACATGCTCAGTATGAAAATAATTTTTAAGTGATGCTCTAGAAAGATGCACCTAGCCAATCCTCTTTTTGCATATAATTAGGCACACTCCTAGGAATACTCCTCCTGCAGCTAGTTTCTAATTGCTGCTATAACAAATCACCACAAACATAGTGACCAAAATGGGTCTCACTAATCTAAAAATCAAGGTTTTGTCATGACTGCTTTGTTTCCTTTTGGAGGCTCTAGAGGAGAGTCCATTCTTTTGCCTTTTCTAGCTTCTAGAGGCTGCCTGCATTCTTTGACTGGTGGCCCCATTCCTCCATCTTCAAAGCCAGCAGCAACAGCAAGCCAAGTCTTTCTCATGCTGCCATTTCTTTGGTTCTTCCTTTTCTGCCTTTGGCTGTTACTTATAAGGATGCTATAATTACACAGGGCCCACCTGGATGATCCAAGATCATCTTGCCATCTCAAGGTGAGCTGATTAGTAGCCTTAATTCCACCTGCAAGCTTAATTCCCTTTTGTCATGTAACATAACATATTCACAGATCCAGAGAGAGATGTGGGATTCTTTAGGCAGGGGTATTATCCTGCCTACCACAATATCAGTTCATGGGGAGACAAGAATAGCCTTAGGGGCCAGTTGTGCTTCCATGTAAGGATCTCAGGGCCAGTGTTGCTCCCTGGGCCTGTGGTGCTACAACCACTTGGTATTATAAAGTGATTGCCTTTCCAATAGGCATGTTTCCAAGCCCTGTGGACTCCTTCAGAGCAGGTGTGACTCCAAATTTATCTTTGTATCCCCACCTCTTGATAGAGTTTCTGACAAAATGAAGTCTTGGTGAGGGGTTAGATGGATGGCTGGATGGATGGCTGGATGTCACAGTAATTCAGGTTTAAGACAGGGAAGAACCTGAGGTGAACCAGCCTCCCAAGGTCCACAACTGCCCTGGCCAAGGGCAAGAACAGGGCAACAACTTCAAGTTTGGCTCTCCAGATCTCCATTGCAGGGACCAAATTTTATTTTGAAAGCCTCCTCTAAATTAAACTTTAGACCAACAAAAGCTAAACTGAGGGAAATGATATTGAGTCAATAGGAAAGAAGAATTGACTATAGATTGACTTTCACTAGTAAGACTGTGAATGAGGCTAAATCAAATGGCGAAATGAAGAAAATGAGAAGCTACTTATAAAATGATAATTTCCGTTGATAAAAATCTGGCCAACTAAACAACAGGTCTCCTTACCTGACCTTTCTGCCCAAGAAAGGGCCAATATACAGACTTCCTCAAATGGCTGCTAGGCTTACAATAATTTCTCCTTCTGTAAAGACTGTGTCACCTCAGTACAGAGGTAGAGCCCCACAGACCCTGGCCATCTTTCTGAGCTCCTCACCTGGGCCATACTCATTGGATTTACTTCCCAGGGATCTGCTCAGTTACTTCTCTGGAGAGAAGGTCCACTAACTTCAACTTTTGAACTATGGGAAGAAAACTGGTGCTTCCTGCCTTTTGACTGAAACTTGGTTTCAGAAACGCTCAGTGGAGGTACATTTTGAAGTGATCAGAACAGGACCAAGGCAGGCATTTTAATTTGCTGAAAGCTTCAGAGTTTTCATGATCACTGGGTTAATTTCTTATTGTGTCTCGTTATTCAGTTTGTCCTTAGATTCTGGGAGGGAATACTAATATTCTTCCAAAAAATTCTGCTTCTCTCCCTGTACCCCTCAAATAAATAAATAAATAAATAAATAAATAAATAAATAAATAAATAAATAAATAAATAAAGACAAAAACAGCTACTCAGGGTTGGTTTCTGTGATTTGCAATCAAAAGAAACTTATCTAATGTAGCCACTACAGACTCCTAATTTCTACCCAAGGTCCAAGATAGTGCCTTGGCTCCAAAGGAGAGAAACTCTGGGTTAGTGATATTCAAATCAAATTAATTCTAGGACTTGGCTGGATGATTCAGATAAAAGGCAAAAAGAGGCAGAGCTGCTAGAGGGAGAAGAGAAAGGAAGATTAGCAACCACAGGTCTTGGAAATGTGGCTGCAAGTTTCACTGCAGTTTCTGAACTACATAAAGAAGACTGTTGTTTCCTGCCTTTGACTGAGACCTGGTTTCAGAAATGCTCAGTGGAGGTTCGTTTTTGAGGTAATCAGAGCAGGACCAAAGCAGGCATTTCAATTTGCTTTGACTGAACTGTAACTTTTAGGACACCTACTTTGTATGTAATACTGTGAGGTTGCATTGAAAGGACCCACTTTGTATTCCAGCAGGAAGAGTAAGAACAGTCTCAAGCCCCAGGCATTGGTTTGATACCTGAAATAGAGTGTAGTGCAAGAGCACACATCACTCTTGAAAGGGAAAATTTTGTTTTGAATGACTAAATCTAGTGCTTACCCATCAGTTTCCCCAGCTGGACTATAAGGTGTTTGAGGGTGAAGATGATATCTGATTCATCACTATATTGTCAGTGGCTAATAGTGCCTAGTTCATAGTTAGCACTCAGTATCTCTTTGATGAATTAAATTAAAATAAGACCACACCTATTCATGTTTCATTATTGCCCCAAATTCAGAAAACAAGCACTGCAACTGGCTTATGCATGTGGGTTCCTCTGTCTCTTCCTGCCAATAGGAAGTGGCTCTTTTTGGAGGCGGGGTTAACAAGATTTAAGATTCAAGATTTTTCTCCTTTCTTCTTTGCAACCTGCTTTGCAAATTGACTTTATTTAACCTATCATAAAATGGTGCTAGTTAAACCATATTCATTTACATACAAAGAAGCTTTAATATTCAATTTCTAGTTTCACAGGGAGAAATATACTGAGGTAAGAGAAGCAGACCAGTCAACCAGGGCAAGAGAAAATATATAATATTCTGTTAAAATAACCAAGCCAAGTCAGTTCACTCTTTTTGGAGTGGTCAAAAGGTTGATTCTACCTTTCATATAAATTCACTATGGAACTGGCTTAAAATTTGAAGAAGATATAAACATTTTATAAATACAAATTCAGTTGTCCCTAAACAATCTCTTCATGATATACCAAAGAATATACAGCTCTTATGTATAATATGATAGAATAACTTACCATAAAAGGGCTTCATTAAATTACAATAATAATGATTAAGTAATTATGCCATGCTAAGAATCATTCTAAATGTCTTACATACCTAATTTAATTCAATCTTCACAGCAAGTCATAAACATTTAAGGTATAAACTATTATACCATTAGATCAATCATATAACATGATGATTCTGAAACTCAGACAGGTTACATAACTTGCCTGAGGATACAGAGTTGGTGAATGGCAGAGACCAGAGTTGAACTGGGAATTCATATTTACTCATTAGACCTTATATTGTTCTCAGCCTTGGTGTGATCACCACTATGGAAACTTTCTATGGTGAAATGTTGCACTCTGTCTATTGTGAGCAAGAGAATAATGTATAAATCAATATTCAAAGAAATGGATTCTTTAGGAGGAGGCTTCAGGAAAGGAGATGAGAGTTTTTGTCTCAACATTTCTCACAAGGGCTTAATTTCTTCATTTTTTAAGAAGGAATTAAATGATCTGAGATCTCTGGGTATTCTAACATTCATAAATCTAGTTAAACACAGAAGCCCAAGTGGGGGGCAAGAAATATTAGCATGCTTTGTAACCAAATATGTGTCCTGTTTACTGTAGACATGCCATATTCATCTGAAATACTTTACTCCTGATGCCATTTTATCTTCGTGTCTCACTTTCCTTTTTCTCCATCAAACTTGACATTTTATTTTACCTTCTTATATTTACATAGGCTGTATTATATCCTTTCAGGGGAGACATGAATGAAATGGGCCAAAGTATTTGGATGTTCTCTAGTCCATCTCTTCATGTTTTAAGATCCTCTAGAATAATTTCTTAAATGGCAACTTATGTAAATAAAATAAGAACAGCAATAAATACAAAGACAGAAGTTCAAGTTGATTCACAGTTTTAGAGCGATGGCTTTCTATCACAACCAAAAATATTATTGTAGACTAAATGTAGAAACAGAGAGATAAGACATATTGTAGTCCTCCATATCGTACAAACATCCTATTATATCACTGTGGCAGAGATTCTTCCTATCCAAATCCATTTAAGGCTATGCTGTGCTGTGGCACTATTGTACTACAGCGTCACCATGAGACTAGTTTCAGGAGACAGCTAGGTGCAAGGAAAGAACTTATGCTTTTGAGCTAGGTTGGCCTGGATTCCAACCTTGGCTCTGGTGCTTACTAGCTGTGCAAACTTAGGCAAAAAACTTAAAAACTCTGAGTTTTTATTTTCTCATCTGAAAATGGGATGACTTTGCACATTTACTGTGGTTGGTTCAGAAGATTAAATAATGTAATATATGTCAAAACATCTAATAGAATGCCTTGAACTCAGTAAATGCTCCACAAATGTTGGTTTCATTCTCTTCCTTGCATGCTTTTTCCTTTTGCAAACACACCTCATTACAAACTAAGAAAATATACATTTTTAGCAAACATAAGCTAAAGAAGTGATTCCTGGTCATGGTTTGGCAAAATTCCAAGTAGTCACCAATTATTTTTAGAAATGTCACATAATTCTAAAATTAAAATTAATTTTAACATAATTATTTTATAATGCCACCTGGGTAAAATGGCTGGTATCACTAAATAAAATAATAGTAACAATAGCAGTTATTGAGAGGTTTGGAATCCCCACATCAAAACAGAAAGCGACGTGGAAATTCAACATTTTAAAAAGAACCAGATAGGATCTTTAAAACTGAGAACCAATTTCTATAAAGGGTAAGCACAAACACAGCACTTGACTTATATCATAATTTTTCATGCTGTTTAGTTCGTTAAAGTCACAACACAGTAATTCCTATAATAAATATATATATATATGACAGTTTCATGTACATGAGTGTTGCAACAGAAACAAAAGGTAATGAGAATGGTAATTTTTAAAAAATATTTGGCCATTTAAACATAAAGATAAACACTTTACATTCTTAAGAGTAAATATATGAAACTTAGCTAATTATAAGGGGATACGATCAAAATTAATAATGGACCATACATATCTATACTAATAAAAAAGTCACAAATTTCTAAGTTCATTTGAATTGAATTTAGAAGCCATTTACAAATACGAAGAGGAGTTTTATATAACATCTTACTATTATAAATTTAAGGCAAATTCTGAATTTAATCATTACTGAGCATACATACAACAAAAACATCATTTCAAATTATGCCTTGTATAAATTTTGGAAGTAAAAATTTATTGTCAGAAGTTTGCTGGTTGTGGTGTGGCCATGCAAGCTGCAATGGAGGCATTAGTAACAGGATACTCAACATGAAACGTTCCGGATAATTATTAGCACTTATCCTTTTAGGTCCGGGGACATATCAGGGAACAAAATTGACAAAAATCCCTTTTCTCAAAAAGTTTAGATACTAGTGCAAAGATTTTTGAAAAAGTGAAATATGCAATATGTTAGAAGATAAAAGGACCATTAAGGAAAGGAAAGCAAGAAAGTACATTGTATACGTTTATGATGTACTTGGGAAATGACTGGGTTTTGAGGATTATAAACATTTTAAGAGTGTTTATGGGTGTGAATAAAGAGAATTTAGAGTGAACAGAAATTTTAATGGAGCTTGTAGATATTAAATGCAGGTGATAGCAAGGGAAAGGGGAAATTATAATAATAGAATCTTAAGGTTGTCAGGAGGCTTAGATCTTGACAACAAATTCCCTATTGAATAATGAATAGAATAGAAGAGATGTAGTGGAAAGGATAAAAATCCTAGTTATCTGAGTTTTTTGCAATAAATAAAAGAATTATAGTAATGATAATGATATAGCAAGCTTTAGCTTTGGAGAAAACTACTAGCAGTCAGGATTACAAATCCTTACAATCCCTAAAACATCAATCATAAACCTTTAGCTAAATTAATGTATTTGCAGGGAAGCTGAACATTGTCTCAAACTCAATATCAAGGAGCCTTTACTTTGGAGCAGTCTTAGGTGATCTCATTGCCTGGTTATTAGATCAGTGCCAAAAGATTCAACCAAAAAGAACTGCATTCACTTTGATCTTAAAGTGTTTTGAAACCTGTTGGTAGGCAGAATGTGTGCCTTTTCCCTAACTTCAAGAAACTTTAGGAAGGAGTCCAGAGAATGATCAATGCAGTTGAAATAGAGTCTAGGAGGAGAGTTTAAGAGAAGAAAGCTGACTTCCCTTGGAGAAAGAAGATAAGGCTGAAAGGTAACAATTATAATGGCTTTGAAAGCTACAAAGTGGTCTTATTCATAGTCATCCATTCACTTATTTGTTCATTCATTCACTCAAAGTGCCATCCACTGTACCAGGACCTGGGGGACATGGAGAAGGACAAAAACAGAGGTAGACAAAATAAAGTTCTTGGCTTCAAAAATCTCTTCTCCATTGCCAGTGACCAAGAATTGAACAAAATTGAGTGTAGGGTTAAACACACACAGAAAATAAGTCTGAAGTGAAGGGATTTGAGAAACTCAAATGCTTCTCAAAGTCAAAGTAGCAATGAAAAGAAATATATCTTTGCCTGCCATTTGTTTATGAGAACTACTGCTGGTTAAATGATAAAGTAATTTTCAGGTCTGATTGGAAAAATTTCCACCAGAAAGAAAATTATAGTTTTAATTTTATAGTTTAGAATATTCTCTCGTAGGCTTTGTGTGGTCAGTGGAAAGTAAGGCAACTATTTGTGGTTTCCATTGTACTTTTCATCTATGCTCGACACTATATGATTCATATCAGGGGCTATCCAGACCACAGAAATAGCCGAAAAGAAAAAAGCAATGGTGGTATCTCTTCCCACTACACTGAAATTTACGAAAAGCCCCCTGGCCATGTTTACCAAGAAAAGGAATATGTACGAATTCACGGTAACTAGTTGTGTTATTCAATTTTTAGTTCCTCTTCTGCCACAGGTTCTTTATTAACTTGAATTTTCTGGTTTGATTCTAACCACTCGAACAGGAAAATTCAAATTTTTCCAGCAATACTTAAGTACAGTTTAAAAACTTAGGAGAAACCAAAACAAGAGAAACATATTTTATGATGAAATGAAGAAATTGCTCAGGAGAGCAATTGCAAGTCAATATTTTCAATATTTAGTGATCTTTATGGAAATTTAAGTATGAATTTATTTTTAAAATGCTCAAAATTATCTTTCATGGGTTTCCCTGATATGCAAACTACCCATACCTAAAATTATGAAGAGTCAAAACATTGTCCTTACCTTTGTTCTTCCTTTGTTTATTATATATATTATTTTAAAGTGAATAGTTCATTTTAAAGAAATTGTGTACTTTTAATCAATCCTTTAAATAATATTCTGAAAAAATGATCTACTTTGTGCAAAGCATATTTTCTTCTAAAGATATTATTGAAATAATGATATATGTAATGATTAATGTAGGATAGGGCACAGTAATTGGAAAAGATATTTCAATTGCATGTCACATGCACATACTTCAATAGAAGTGACAGTATTTAATTGATATCTGCCTTGCATCTCCTGCATTCTGAAACAATGTTTCATAAGTTAAATTCATAGCTTACCTGTCTCACTTCCAATCAAAGGCTGATTTGCGAAATGCTTGACAAAATCTTTCAAAGATGAAAATTCATTAAAACCAAATTTAAAAGAATATCCAGTATATTCAACATGAAAGTGTTTGACAGAGTCTTTGGCTCTGAAAGAAAAAAGGAATATTTAACATTATTTAATAAATAAATACCATTTTTGAAGGGAAATAATAACCTTAGGTATTAGTATCACCATTAAACTCTCTTAAAAATTGAGAATTATGACACAGTTGTTGAAACCATTGGCATTTTTAAAGCACAATTTCTTTTGGCAGAGTGCGTTTTTCTCCATTTTTCACTAACGGAAGATGAGACAATTCTCCCTGTGCATTCTCTGACTTACTGAAGGAGTCCTTTAACATTAACCCCCTTAAGGAGCGTGAGTTTAAGAAACGCAGGAAAGAGAGATGACAGAAATGGCAGGTCTCACCTTCCCCAAATTCTCCTCTGGCCTTGGCCCTCCTCCCTTTCTAATTTGGGGGTCAGTCTGAATTCTGCTTCTGTCACTTAATTAGTTATGTGATTCCAGCCCTTTTTCTTCCACGCCTGTTCCACTGCCTACTGACTAAAATATCAAATTTCCTACATTGTCATTTTTCACCTCACTTTTGGAATGAGGCAGAACATTAAATAAATTATAAATTATGTATAGTATATGTACCTTATTTGACTCCCACTATTTCTCCTCTCTTTGTACAGGGCACGCTCCAACTTTCGTATACATCAGAAATCAGAATAACCTGGAGGCCTAGATAAAACCCAGATTTCTGGGCTCTACTCCTTGATTTTATGATTTAGTAAGTCCAAGGTCGGGCCTGAGAATTTGCATTCCTACCACATTCTCAGGTGATGCTACTGGTCTGGGGACCACATCTTGAGATCTGCTGCTCTAGTCCAGCCAAACCTGCAATTCCTCTAGGAGTTTCCACTTTGACCCTTAGCTCACACAGTTCCCTTCGCCTGCACCTTCTTCCCTTTGTTTCTGATCAAGTGTCCATTCAAATACCACCTACTCTATCAAGTATTGCAAGATTCGTCCAGCTTGAGTTACTCGCTTTTCTCTTCTCAACAGCCAAGCACTTACTTATCTTTGCTTTCTTTCACGTCACTTACCACACTCTCTTTTGTAGTGAAGTATTTGTAAATGGTCTCATTGCCCCTGCTAGGCTACACTTCCTGAGGACAAGGTCTTTGAATCTTTTGCAACACGTGTCAAAGTGATTGGCATAGAGCAGATACTATTAAATATTTATTCTTAAGGAGTAAATGAATGAATGAATGAAAACAGTCATTCTCCTGAGCTGGTCTGTGGTTCCTGTCACCTCCGATGGTGCATCCTTTTTAAAGGCATTTCTAAGTGCTTGTGATGAAAATTAATAATTTATATTTACAATTTTATATGGATGTAATGTATATGCCATCTATTTGTAATGAGCTTATGATTCAATTGTTCAGATGAGACATATGGAAGTGAAAAGTTAACATTCTTTGATTCCATTACTCCACAGGTTTGTTTGAGATTTTGGGGAGATCCATGCAATAAAAGATCTGCAGCCTAACTGCTTGATGAACTTTTAACATTAGTTGATCAGAAAAAGCACAATTCCGGCTTCCGCTTAAACAGAATTCTATTTTTGGTTAATAATTTCCCCATTAATGTTATTTAGAAAGTTTGTAAAGAAAATAAAGCAGAGTAGGATAAAAATGTTAATGTGTCCCCCCACCCCACCCTCGTATTTACTGCACTACCTTTCCACCGATTTCTCCCATTTCACTTAAAGTAGCCCGCAGCGTTCCTTCCGCTAATCCTGGGAATGGCAGGTGTGGCAGGCAGCATTCTAATATGGCCCCAGGGTTCTTGGCCCCTGGAGTACACAAAACTTTCCCCAATTATTCAATAAAATGTTAATGTAAATGCTCCTGTGAAGGGATTTTGCAGATAATTAAGGCCCCAAATCAGTTGACCTTAAAATAGGAAGCTTGTCTGAGTGCACCTGACCTAATCCTGTGAGGTCAAACGTTTTGGTAAAAGCAGAGTTTTCTCTGGTTGTCACAGAAGAGATTAGAGAGACCTGTTCTAGCTGGCCTAGAAAAAAGCAAATATCCATGTGAACTGCCTAGAGGGACCACCAGTAAGGAACTGCAGGTGGCCTCTGGGAGCTGACAGTGGTCTCTGGCTCATAGTTTTATGGAAAATGGGGAGCTAAGTCCAACAGCAGCAAGGAAATAAACGAAAAGGAATGAAGAGGAAAAGAGAGACTGAAGGAATCAGATGCTGAGCCCCGGATAAGCCATGGCCTTGACCAAGATCTCTTTCTCACCCTGGTAGGAGCCTGAGCAGAGAAGCCAGCCACATCATGCCTGGACTTCTGAGATACAGAAACTCTGAGAAAATAAATTTATGTTGTTTTAAGCCACTAAGTTTTGAGGTTATTTGTTATGTAGCACAGAAAATATGGAAGGCCCCAAGTCTAAAGAGAAGATAAGAAAACATGTTAATTCTTGGCTTTTGAGCTCATAGAGGTCTGCCATCAATTATTTAAGAAAATGCATTTGTAGCCAGTGTTTTCCCTCATATCAGAGGAAGAGGAGATTAAAACAAACAAACAAACAAACAAAAAATGTTGCTGAGCTGAATAGTAGGATAGAAAAAAAGGGTTCAGAGAGAAGGGAGTTGCTACTGAGTGATGAGGAGACCTGGACCACGCAGAGCGGGAAAGAAGGGAGAAAACCTGATGCCCAGTCAGTGATCAGTGTGAGGGACTGCAGCAGGATGGGAACCTGTGACTTTCTTTCAAGGGCACCTGGGGGCACCCTCAGAACAGCAATAAAATAGTGACAGTTTGAGGTTAATGAGTGGGTGGCCGAGGGCAGTTTCATGGAGTCCTCACATCCCCAGTCTAAGCCTGGGGCAATTGCCCACGAGCTTACAAAGACTTGCTACATGCCAGCAAACGCCAAGGTGATGGATCCTGAACCAACAACGCCCCCTGATTATCTCATGGGTAGGTCAACTTCTCTGACAGGGAGTCCAGCCGGAAGGGATGGGTGAGGAGAGAGACCCCGGGAGACTGGACAATCAGTTTTTAGCTGGGTATACCTGGGAGGGACTGGATTAATTTTGTTCACATTCAGGGGAGATGGAAGGTCAGTCCATTCACAGGAAAAAAAAAAAAGTTGACCTTTTGCCTGCTTGAGTTTGTGATTATGAATGTTACACAGCCTCAAATCACTCTTATTTTCCAGAGGAACCAAGAAATATTAAAAGGGCACCGGACCAGCTTTCAGGGATATGGTGCTGTTTCTATCGCTGATGTATTGGGTGCCAGACACTTCACCACTTCAGGTTTCAGTTTCTTCATCAGTCAAGCAAGAGGCTTGGATTAAACAATTCATGAAGTCTTCTTTAGCACTAACATTTTTCCCCTGCCAACAGAAGGAGCAAGAGTGTTCTTTTTGTTTGTTTTGTTTTGTTTTTATAGTGTCACCACTCAGAGCTTCAAATCCTTGTGTCTGCTGGTCTAACAGGAATCAAGAGAATTTTGTTATATGGCAATTTGAGTGTGATGGCCGTGTAAGTAAGAGTTGGGGACCATATTGAATTTATAGAGTTCTTAAGCATCCTACCTCACAGAGAGAGAGTACAACCCGGTCCTTTCATTGCTGTCCCTCAGAAGGTAGCTCCCATCACATCCGTTTGAGAGGAGAAGAGCCTCGGCCGCATGGCGGGTGAGGTTGCCGTGGTACCACCTGGGAAGGAGAGGACAGGGCTTTCACTCAGGGCAGACCACAGGGTGACACTTCCTTCTCCAGCTCTTCCCCTCAGAGATTACCTTAGCAACATTCCCCACACAGGTAGCGCAGGGACCAAGCTCTCAGCCAGAACATCAGGACAAGGAAATTGCTGGGCAAAGCTGAAAATCCATATGTTGAAGTCCTAACCCTCAGTATATCAGAATGTGACTTTATTTGGAGATGGGTCCTTAGCAAATTATAATGACGTCATTAGTGTTGGCCCTAATCCAATATGACTGTGTCTTCTTGTATAAAAGGGACATTTTGGAGATAGACTTGCAAACAGGGAGAATGCCATGTGAATGTGGTGATAACCGTCTGCAAGGCAAGGAGAAAGGGCTGAAAGAGATCTCTCCCTCACAACCCTCAGAAAAGAAACGCGGGCAATAACATCAATGTTGTCAGTGAACAAAGGACTGTCAGCAGGATGTGTATAAGGTAAAAGAACTTCTAGGAAGAGACTGACTCTGGGGGTTAGGAGTCTTGCTGTCATGGGCCACACTGGTATCCACTGAGACATCCCCATGGTCTGAAATTTTAGCCTGATAATAAACAGTAAACATAAGGCCATCTGTGGAAGGAAGTTTCTACATAGGCTTCCAAGCTCTATTCTAAATCTGCATTTCCTAATGGATGTTTCTTTAGCATATTTCCTTTGGAGGGCAGAGATGCCTCCATCCTGTACTGGAAATGTATTTGCTAGCTGAAAGCAATGGCAAGAAAAAACAGCTAATTAGAAAACTCATTGAGTTATTTACTCACAAAGCAGCCTCATTCATTGAACTGATTCACTGATAAGTTCAAATCTTCTCACCACAAAATGCTTTAAAAGGATAATTAGAACCTGAAACTAATGATGTATGTCAATTAAAAAATTGGAGGAATTAAAAATGAAAAACTATAAAACAAACAAACAAACAAACAAAAAACAGGTTTGGCTACAGCCAAAATTCTATTTCTTTGGATAGGTGAAATCTCCATAAAGTCACAGTTCTTAAACGCCTTTTGCCAATAATTAATTTTTGGATGAATGTATCAGAATAAGATTCAGTTTGAGCCAGTAGACAATATATTTGAAGCAACAAAATTTGATCAAAAAATTTCTAAATTGTAAAGGATTTCGACATTCCTTTGGATTCTTTTCAATGAGATCTGAAGTGTGTGTTTCAAGCATTTACAGAATTCTTCTGATAATTACAGCTTGATGGTAGTTTTTACTAAGAAATTTGTATGGCAATCTTTTAAATAATAACTATATACTATAAACACACATGAAATACTTGAGTATAAAGCAAGAAGAATTGCACTGTGTTCCAATATGGAACATTTCAGTAAGTGTTAATTAATGGGTGGAGGCTTGGTTGAGTGAATCTTGATATCTCTTGGATTTGATGGAGTCCTGGGCCCTGGCAAACCTAAGACAGAGCCTGCCACATGGTCACCTACACTTCATAATGTTTATGGGGCAATGAGGATCCTCATTCTCCAAATAGCTCTTCTACAAATTCCTAAATTTCCTCTTTTAATTGCGTTAAGCATTTCTCTCCCAGAAACTTATCATGAGCGTGTCTTCCAGGGAAGTGACTATCAATCCAAACAACACTACATATCTTTTGTAGGAATATGTCCACCTGTGTGCATGAAGAACTAAAGGTCGAAAATATAATAGAGTGAAGTTGGCAGTTTTCCCATAATCAACTTTCTCTACCTTCTATCATTCAACAGTATAAATCTTTATTTATTAAGCTTCAAATCTATGCAAAGCATCATGTAAGGCATTGCACTAGGCAGGTCAAAAAGGACAAAAATGGAAAAGCCTCAGGATGGGCTTCAAAAAACCATTAATCTAGTCAGGAGGATGAGACAAATACTTTTCAAACTATACACCGGAGAGGGAAGCACCCAACAGAGTTTCCAGGAGAAAGATCAGGATCGTTCCCTAAATGAGCCGACATCTAAGTGGGCCTCAAAGGACAAGTAAGTTATTTTTTAAAGTGTGTATAATTTTTTTCTGATCATAAAGTATATGTAGTAAAAATTAAAATATATGCACATAGAGAAGAGAGAGTCTTTCACAGAAGAGGAATTATGTATTTCAAATAATCTAACTCAATACTAATCAGAGAAATGCAAATTAAAACAACAATGTGCTATTTTCTCTATCCACTACATTGGCTAATAGAGTTAGACAGTATTAGGTACTGGAGAATTTGGAGACAATGGATACTATCATCTGCTGTTGGTAGGGGTGTAAGTTGGAGGGGAATTTAGCACATGCACTGTACCTGAACACGCACAGGTGACCAGCAATTCCATTTCTCATGTCCGACTAGTGGAACATTCACACACAAACAGAAGGAAAGATGAACTAAGGGGTTTGCTGCAGTCGTGTTTGTGAGAGTAAAAATTTGGAGCCATTGTAAATATGAAGTAACAGTGAGATGATAAAGTTGAGTGCTCATAGGTTGAGATTATGTAAAGACTCATCCAAAAGTGTTTGAAAAGGCGTGAGAACATTTTTGGTTGTCAGATGATGAAGGCAGGGGATTGGGTGCTACCAGCATTAGGTGAGGAAGACTTAACATCATTTCAAGAATGATACAGTTTTGAGCAATCAAGACTTGTCCTACTCAGAATGCCAGCTGCATCCTCACTGAGAAACACTGAGGGTGTTACACACACACACACATTTAAAGCTGATAGATCCTGAGAGGAGAAAAAAATGGTGTAGATGATAGAGGCTCTGTTCATCCCTCTGGCGACCAAATCAAAGTTGTGACAGTAATAAGGAGCAGCAGCAAGGAAAAATTGCCTGGGATCTAGAGGAACGAGCCATACAACTAGGGAGAAGTCACTCTGCAACAGCAGAAGGTAGGACGGGGCGAGGATGTGGGGCTGCCCGGTCTCCAGCAGCTGAGTGAGACGGAGGCTGCGGCAGTGGCAGACGCCTCATAAAGGGGCCAAGAGTCTGAAAGCGGATGTTTGCGGTGATGGACCTGCTCTCTCTGAGCACCAGTGCTGATTCAGCTGCGCGCAGGGGGCACCAGGGACTTACAGGGAGACATTGTCAGAGTGAGGGCTGCGACGAGACTCCTTCTGTTCAGAAGTGCCAGCGGTATCTATTGTTCCCTGTTGAGCCCTCCCCAACTCCCAGTGCGCGGACACATCACTGCCATAGCTGTGATGTCATCAAACTGGGTAACAGAGTTCACTCAGCCCAGGATTCCCTGAAACCCCACCTCCCACAACTCACAGCTCCACCCCAGCCACAACCTGGTACATCCCCAGAGAGCCAGGTGCTCCTTGTTGGGCAGTGCCTAGACTCACACTGGAGGCAGCTGACCTTGGTTTCTGATGTAGCCTTTTGAGATAACTATAAGCACAGCATTTGTGGATTGCTTGCTGAATCTTAACAGGTGGCCCCGGAGAGGTAGAGGCTTGGGCTAAGTTTGGCCTTCAGCTGAACCCCTCTCAGGACTGTGCCACTGGACATCTACTTCACAAATCCACACTAATAAGACCGGGGACTTAGTAGCTTTGCTTAGTACATAGAAACAGACATGAAAAGGCAGCAAAAATGGGAAGACAAAGAAACAGAAACCATATGACAAAAAAGAACAGAGATCCAGATATAATGTAGTCAAGTAACCTAACAAATGCAGAGTTTATGCACATAGAGAAGAAAGAGTCTTTCACAGAAAAGGAATTATGTATTTCAAATAACCTAACTGGTTATAAAGATGCTCAATGAACTTTTGGGAAGTGTAGATAAATTCAGTGAGAACTTCAACAAAGAGATAAAAAACATAAAAATGGAAGTGGAAATTATGAAAGGGAACCAGTCTGAAGTGAAGAACACATTATCTGAGATGAGAAGTACATTAAATAGAAAAACAAAGGAATAAACAAAGTGAATAAAGAAGAGGATCACGTGCCCTATCTAGAGGACAGGAAAGCCAAGGACACTCAATCAGAATGGCAAGAGATGAGATGCCAAGACTATAAAAATAATTTAAGGAGGATATGGGACACTACTAAGGCTCCAAATATGCGTCCAATTGATGTTACTGAAGAAAATCAAAATGTTGAACAGCTGTTTGAAGAAAAAATGATGAAAAACTTCCCTAACCTGGTGAAGGATATGGACGTAAAACCCCAGGCAGCTCAGAGAATTCCAAAAATCAGGGATCCAAAGAGGCCCACACCAAGACACATCATAATTAAAATGCCAAAGATTAAATACAAGAAAGA